AGAGTATTTAGTATGCAGTTAAGATGAACAGGGGCCACAAGAATATTTTAAGAAAAATTGCTCAGCTAAAGATAATGAGGAAGTTTCATATACTTGTTAATCTAAGGAAAGTCTACGGTACAATAAAATCCATGTTATTAAATCTTATTTGTTCCCAAACAAGAACAGTACAGTGGAGTATGAATGAAGTGCACTGATACAAGTATGAATACAGAGAGTGAAATCCTCCGACTGTGGGTGGTACACATCACCACCCAATACCTACCAAAAATCATGGCGTATATACAGACTGACATCTGAAAACAATTACTAGCAGAGACAGAGAAAAACTGCACCGCCATTACTACCCTAAGATATCAAAGGAAGTGAGGACGCCCCGGGGGGAGCACGTTTCACCCTCCCAAGACGGGAAAGTGTGGCAGGATCCCTGGGAACTGGTGAAATATTCCAAGGTTTCCACAGAAAGCCTGAAAGGCAGACACCTTACTGTGCCGCCATAAGCTTGCCTACTGAGGTGACTGATTAATGCCTAGAACCAAGATCTAGAAACTCAGATTCAACAAATTAGCAACAAATTACCGAGAACACAATCAGATGATGTCTGCGGTCCCGTTGAAGTAAAACTTCACCATGAAAGAAGCCAGCCGTGGAGCTGGCAGTGATCTGAAGAAGCAGCAGCAGTCCATAAAGGCCGCTTAATTTTCTTGTCATTTCAGAATTAAGCCACTTCCAGTGCATGCAGATCCCACCAGGTGCACTAAATTGATGTCATTAGGAGCCATCAGGAAATACCCACGGAGACCCACACCAGCACCATGAAGTTTTGTTAAACAGCTGTGTTTTAATTGACTTGTATTATTTAAAATAGGAACAGTTAAAAGTCAGTTATCGGATGTTGTGTAAGAGACGCCTGAAGACTCCAGGGAGACTGAGTTCAGAAGAAAGCCAATCACTGGAACTTCACTCAGGCACTTAAGATTATTACTAGAGGAAGCACAATTAAATCATCAGTTTATCAGCCATCATTATAAATCACCGGGCAACATATTAAGCTTCATTACTTAAGAATCCTTAACCAGGGACTTCCTGAATCATTGAGTCAAAAGCAATCTATTCACTGAAAGGTGCCTCAAGAGTTTTGTGCTTTTTGTTGTTGTTTTGTGTGTGCTGTGATTTTTTTTTAAACCCTGAAAAATTTAGCATGGAAAGAAAATGAAACTCATTGAAATTAATTATCATATTTTTGCATGTTTTAGGCATGCGAAATCTCCAAAATGAAATCAGAGATCTTGAAATATGCAAAGCAAGCCCTGCACAGGCTCCTCAGACTCCACTCCTGAGCGACAGATATTTAACCTGCTTCTTGCATGGAGGCCACACGGTGTGATCAAAGGAGGGAAGATGACCCCGGAGTTTCTTCTCATCGTTGTCCACCTGCCTCGCCACTTCCTGTGCTCGCCTTCCCCAGAGATGGGATTGGACAGCAAAGCACCTCCACCTCTCTGTTTCCAGATTCAAAGCCCATGGATCAGGTTTTGGAAAGAATGCAGGTGTCTGAAAGGAGACAAACTGTAGGCTGCTTCCCCCACAGCTCTAGGCTCACAGCTGAGAGGCAAAGAAGGGGCTTGGGTTGCAGCTCAATGCAGAGAGTGTGCTAGGCATGTTTGGGACTTGGGTTCAAAGCCCAGTAGCAAAATAAATAACTAAACAAATAAGATGGCCACATACCTACAAGGGCATTCTATTATTTCTACTTTTGTATCTTTAAAATTTTTCAAAATAAAGTTTTTTAAAAGAAGAAAGACAATTACTTAAGTGACCACCACATCCCATACATAAGCACACACATCTTAAGCAAAACTGAGCACCCATGTCCTTAACCTTGTGATGCTACCCTCATCAGGGTCACAGGTGTCCCGGCCGGAACGTAGCCCGCACCTTTCAGCACTCCCTACTGGAATATTCGCTCACCAACTGAGGCATCTGCTCACTTCCTTCCAGAAGTTCCGCACTGGACTCCGGATGGGAGAACAGGTAACCCTAAGGCTGGACAAAAGCAGGTGAGTAACTACCATCACCAAGAGCATGAGATGCATGAGTGCCTTGTCCTCCGAAGACAGGGCTCACGTCCCCAAGAGTAGGCCCTCCTCATGGAGACGAATGCTTCAAGGACACAAGTGTCATCACCAAAGATGCAGAGTAACAAATGACAGGAGCACAACCAGGCCTCGGAACAAGAGATGGAGAGAGGAGATGCAGTCTGCATTATGCAAAGGCTGCTTCTGTGTCTAAGTCACTCTGGAGGGCAGGATGTTATTATCACGTTCAGTCTGCCAGCTAGTGAGTCTGCAGTACAGCTCTGCAAATGATGTCTGCTCTATGCACCACCAATACTCTGTCAGCTTGTTCTCCCCCGGAGCTGTGTGACACCTGGGCTCATCCTACTAAAGACACCATTTACTCTCCACATGAGGCCTTACAAAAATGAACACCCATTCTCTGGAAGACATGACGCAAATGGAAAGAGGAAGATATCAACCCATTAATCTGTGAGGGTTAAAGACCAAGAGCTTCAAAGGAAATGTACATGACAACTTTCACATGCCAGATAGTGCTACGGCTACAGTGAGTTTCTCTTGCTTCATCTTTAATGCCTGGACACACATTGTGTTAAGTGACTCTAACGCCTAAATCAAAGTTTATTGTTAGAAGTAGGACCCTTTCCAGATCAGATTCCAATAAGACAAATTCCAAAGGACTGTCTCCATTTTATAGTGAAGTTGTAGTTTGGTAATATCAAACATCTCTCCTACTGAGTGAGTCTCTGCTTTGGTATTAGTACTAGTAATGCTCATTGTGATAGGATAGGATCTGCATCACTACAATTCTATGGTAAGTAGGGGAAAGATGGCCCCTTCCATGCCTATGAATTGAAGTAAATTCATCAACTCTATTAAAAACAATCAATGGACACACTGGTTCACGTGTTTGGTCTAACAACATATGGGTCACCGGCGGGAAGAAATCTATTGGCAACATCAGATCAGGAGACTAAGAAAATGCAACTGAAGTCAAAATCTTGTTCCTACGTCCTGAGGTAGAACACAGGGATGCTAAAATCACACAGGAATCACCAGGAACGGAACTACAGGCTGGTAGTTTAGAGAACAATCACAGACCTACTAGAGAGAAAAGAAAGGCAAAGGCTAAAAACTGGGCTGAGAAGCGTAATGCGAAAAATAATTGAGGAGGAACTGAGAAAAAGGTGCTAAAGCTGAAGTTAAATGCATATGTATTTTGAATAATCTCTTTCCTCATCCTTTGCCATCTTCCGTAACTCCTACAACCAATGGCTTTCTGGGCCCATGGACTCTGCGTCTACCCCATGCAGTCCTGGACTCTGTGTGGTCACTGACAAAACACCAGAAACCGAAACACTTATCTCTTTCGTTCACTACTGAAAGGTTAATGTAAAACAGTCCGCATAAAACAAGATGCTTTTGTCAAAATCTTCAGGACTGCTTCTCTTGCACATCATATTACTGTTCTTCATAACAACTATGCACGCCTGGTCTACCAAACTGGGATTTCAGAGAGAGCTATTTTTGTAATTTTTGGTAGTTTCAGAGAAAGGAGAGTATGAGAGAAGAGGTAGGAAATACACTGACAGAACACAGAGGGATGGCATCAACCCTGGAAAGAATTCCAAAAACAACCCGCACAAGATGCCAGAGCAGCCATGTTTAGCAGGAGCTGTGTGGAGCAGAGGAATAGAGGACAGACTTGGAGGGGCAGGTGAGAGAGGAGGTGGCCACACTGCGGCCGGCAGGGAAGGCCTCTAGACCACACCCACAGGCCCTGGGTGAGCACTTGCAAGGGGAGCGAAGTTGTGACAGAGGTCAGGGTTCCGGGTCCGTCGTGGGCTTAGTCCAGCAGGGTGACAGGGAAAGGGAAGGGAAGGACCCATTGGAGGGGCACTGTGAAGATACTCAGTGCCAGCTCTGTCTTCACTTGACACCTAAAAAGGTCACTTGCAGTCATGGCAGAGGAAGTACTTATGAGAAGGGAAGGATCCTTCTGTTGCCTGGGAACAAACTGCCATTACTATGATCAAATATGTAGAGGGAATGAAAATTCTAACAGCTGATAAAGTCACTTTTGGAGGAAGCTCTCATTAAGCTTAACAGAGGCTTGGAAAAATAAGAGGTTTTGATTTAAGTAAAAATTATTATTTATTATTTTTTTGGTACTGGGGATCGAACTCAGGACCTTGTGCTTTTGAGGCAGGCACCAGAACCACTGAGCTAAATCCCCGGCCTAGTAAAAATTATTTTTAAGAAGAACACAATTGGTTGCAAGGTGATGAATATTTTTTAAATTCTACAGTAATTAACTGTTGATTTTAGCAATGCAGCACTGACTTACATGATTGACAAAGCCATCAACTTTGCTTTGCAAATCTATATTTTATAACTCCTTTTGCAGACCTATTACAAACTTATTACTAACCCAAAGTTCAACGTTTCTGTAAGTGCAACATCACAGACAACACAAGCTGAAGCAGCTAAGCCTTTGTGTGTGTGCCAACGTGGCTTCTGCTTTCATTTATGAAACAGTTTGGCCCAACACCCAGGATAGCATAATCACTGCGCTGGGGCTGGTGTTGCTGCACGGAGAAAAGTTAAACAGAAAACCAGACGGGGGTTGCCTTCAAAGGAGTCACAAAATAATGGACAAGACTGATACTAAGTTTTTGAAAATCATCCACATGTATCACTCAAACTGTGATAACCGCCGTGAAGGAAAACTATAGGGTGTTAGGAAAGCTTATCATAGGTACGCGACGGCAAGTCTGCATCCGGGAAGATGTGCAAGGAGACCGCCTCCAAGCTAAAGTCGCAAGGATGTGGAGAGGGGAGGGAGGAGGGCGGAGGGAGCAGAGGCAGAGAGGAGCAGAGGGAAGGGGCCGCGTGCAGTAGGCGCAAACGCTCTGCTCTCACCTGTTGAGTGATTGTGTCCCACGGCCCCTGGAGCGGCCTCGTCTTATAGGACTCGTGGACTCCGTTCCAGATGTCCTGCAGGGTGAGTGGCCTCCCATCTGTGAAAGAGCATTAAGACACTGAGTTAGCGACCCACCAGACGCGGGCTGCTGGGTACAGATCCAAAGATCTGGAGGAGGATACAGCTTCTCAAAAAACCTTTACTAAGTTCACACATTACTTACACATCACAAGAATGCTCTGTGAACTTCTATTTTTTCCTTGAGAGAACATTAAACATTTAAGCTTTTCTCTGTTGAATCCACCTAGAAGTTAAATCATCTACCCATTCATTGCCTCTAGGAGTTTTACAAAACAAATAAAAGCCAAAAGTGTTTTAGGGAGAACTGACAGATTCGAGCACAGGCAAAGGACCAGGTAAATGGACCCTGTATTCGAAAGGGCTCCCTGTGTATGTCTCTGAGGCCTTAGTGCTCTCTCTGTTCCTTAAAGCAAAGAGACCAACCCCGGGCTTCTCTCAATGTCCTGCTGATCGAGCATCTGTAAGGTCCACATCGCTCCACGAGGTATCATGGAGAACACAGAAAATGAAAACTCGTAATTTCTTCTAGTCAGGACCTACCATCTCCTAGGGAAATTCTGACAGGTCCACAAGTCCTAAAAACAGTAGGCAGAGAGAGGTCACAGCCAGACCAGATGGTCCCTGCCACCCACAATGAGGAGGGGCTGTAACTCTTTATTTGCTTAGGCAGTTGTAATTAATGATCTACATTCAGTAACCATCCAAGTAATGTATTTTATGGAGACCACTACGACACTTATACTTAAGAAAGTAAAGAGAAAACATAGGTAGCTAAATTCAAAAAAGGAAGCAGAACGAAGTAGTTACCTAAAGACTTTAAAAACACACTATAACAAAGAAGGTGTCTAAATGGTTGAATTTAGTGCTGTTTGGCTCACTCAGAACTATCAAATCCTCAAGATATTTGGGTGTGCTCTTTTCATAGGCAAATGCACATTTTTCCTTAGAGAGAATACACCATATACTAAACCACTGGATCCTAAGATGCACTTGGTTGTCAAATGCAACAAAACTTAAGAAAATAATCTACTCAAAAATTCCAAGCAACTAAAGACCACTGTAGTATTCAGACTTACAGAATATGAGTAGAAATGTACAGGGTGTGAAGGTAAAGCTCTAGAGTTATCGTCTAGGCTAAGTTTAAACACTGGAGTTGGCAACTACTTTTTGTGTGCCTGAAAGTTTTTGCTCTTAACTTTACCTGTAAAATGAGGATAATCCTTTTGAAATTTGTTCTCATGAGCTTACATTAGCAAATGCACCTGAGGACTCTGTTGGGCAGTAAGTAAGAGCTCAGTAAATATCAGGTATCTCCTCCCAGCCCCCTCCATTACTACAGTAATTCTCAGTGCTGAAAGATTCATTTCTGGACTGTTGTTTCTGAGAATGTTCCTGTTTCTACACCGTGCACACTGTCTTTGATACCATAATATACTAATCACATAAGCAGGACATTTCTCATGTTTGCCCTGGAAAGTTGAACTTTTCCTCAACCTTTATTTTCAATAAATAGCAATAGAATATTTTGATACATTTCCAATAAGCATCTTCATCTTGGCATTTATCTGGCGGCAGGAGACCATTATCTTGTGATAAATAGTTTTATTCCATTGACATTTCCATGTCTGTAAAATGAACAAGATTTATTCATCCAATTAACATTTGAATGTCATGTTTTGGTACAAGTTAAAAACAAGCTGCCTTCAGCGCAGTGTTACACTTTTCCTGAACGCGTTTGCAGTGTAGGGCCAGACTCTGCTCTTAAGGGCCCTGTATCTTCAAGACACGCATGTGCACATGTGAGTGTGTGTGCACACAGGTGTGTGTTGGAGTCAGAGGGGCTAATACAGTCTTAATTACCTTAGGTCAAATAGTAAACAATTATAAAAGGATGACATGCCTGTAAAGGAGTTCTTACAGTCAAAGCCAGAAGAAATCAAGTAGAGAGGAAATGAAAGGTTGGAGCTGATATAACTGCTAATTTGATAAATAAGGCAACCCAGGTCTTGGGAAATACAAATCCCCAAAATTATGCAGTCAGCTCCGTTCTGAGCTGAGGTCCAAAGCCAGGTTTCAGGACTCGTAATCCAGTGTTCTTCCTGCTGCTTCCGGGGGCAGAGGCTGCAGATGCTTTATAAAACACTTATGGAAAAAAATGGGAAATCAAAAAATGCTCTTCTCAACATCACCTCCTTTAAGACGATGAAAGCTCTTCAGACCTACAGGAGACACTAGGTTTAGTGTCTCCATTTAGCATCGGTGATGCTTTTGATTTTACTCCTTAGAATAACTCCGTCAATAACGTGAGCATGGACTGTATGGTTAGATGTCACCACAGGCGGACACCTGCCCTCTCTCCTGGGCACATTCCTACAACTTAGCGTAATAAGCACCTAGCAGCAATGTGGAGAGACCCCCGGGATAACTACAGAATTTTCACCAGGTGGGATACTAGAATTGAGATTATATACCATAAATTTTCAGACATATCAAGTCTAGAGAGATGAACTCCTGGGCCAGGGATGTAGCTCAGCGGCCCAGAGCCTGCCTGGCAAGCGCGAGGCCCTGAGTTCAATTCTCGGTATGGGGGGCGGGGGAGAGGGAGGAACTTGTTAGGAATTAAAAAGTGATCTTGTCAGCCTAGAATAACAACAACAGAGTTAAAAACAGGTTAAAAGCCAATATAGTTTTACTTTTGTCACAAAATACTTAAAATTTATAGATTTTCCAGTTTTCTTTAAACTAGTCTTTCTAGTTTTTAAAAAGGCAGTACCCATTAGTAGCACTAGGTTCTTCCTACATCATTTAATAAAAACAGATTAACATAAATGCACTTCTCTATGTCCCTTTGGTTTTAAATTTGTATGGAGTTTTGGGGTATAACTCAGTGGTAGAGCTTATGTTTAGCATGCACAAGGCCCTGGGTTCAATCCCTGGCACCCCCAAAAATTACAGCTAGGAAAAAAATTTTTTTGAGACAGAATTTTGCTATATAGTTCATACTTGCCTTGAACTCACTGTGTAGCACAGGCTGGGCTCAAATTTACGGCCATCTTCCTGCCTCAGCCTTCCGAGGGCTGAGATTACAGGTGTGTGGTATTGCCATCTGGCTACATTTTTTAATAATAAGTAAAAAAAAAAACATGAAAACATCACTGTGCTTTTTCTTTCTCTCTCACTCAATCTTGCAAAACCAGAAACCTAGGAATCATTCTACATTGCTCGCTCTTTCTCAACATTATGCCTCATCATGAAAAACATGGTCTGTTATATTATATTCTAAATTTCTCTGGAATCTGTGCTGTCTGCTCCATTGCTATTATACTGGGGTTCAAGTCCAAGTGCCTCCAAAGAGCCTGCCTCGGTCCTCCAGGCTCCAGTGCTTGGTCACTGCCCCTGCTGGTTTCTAACACAACCTGATGCAACTTCCTTGCTGAGCACTGTTCTCTAGTTCCCCTCCTTTCATGTGTGAAGTCCAAACACTGAGGTCACCTGGGCCTGCTGACCGAGCTGTCTCCCCTACTCTTCCTATGATCAGCCTTTAGTGAAGGTGGCAAATCTACCCCAACACACACTCACTCCAACCAGTCACTCCTTTGTCCTGTTTGGTATTTTTCATAGCAACTATCTCTCTAGGAAATTATCATACTTTCTTGTATATTCATCATTTCCTGCCCTTCCTAACTAGTAGGCAAGTTCCCTGGAAATAGACCTTGTTCCCCTCCACCTGAATGAAGGTCTGGCACACCATAAATGGTCATAAAGACTAGAAGATGGGAGTATACTTTTTCCTCTGCAGTATTATGATGTAAATATTTCCTACATTGGTAAAAAGTCAGCATTATGATCTACTGGCTATGTGTGAGTGTACTAAAATGGTGTGCTGTAATATACTTATGTATTCCTCTGCTGTTGGTCATTTAAATTATTATCAGCTTTGAAATAGCACCTGGCCCAACAAAGTCACAAAGTAAGTCATAGCCATTTCTCTTCTTTTCTATTATTTTCTTTTGATAAATTCCCTAGAATGGAATTACTAAGTCAAAGTGAAAAATAACTGCTTTAATTCAAGACAGAAAAACTAGTAGCTCACCACATCAAGATTCTCTCTGGGATAATGAGATAAGAAGTTAATTTTAAAAAGAGATATTTGTATAATTTGGCACGATGTATGCCAAGCATTGTTCAAGCCTTTGTGATACATTAGTGAGCAAAACAATGGATTTATGGAGGTTATGTTCTAGCTGAGCTGGGACAAGGAAGCTACCGTAAACAGGAATGCAATAAATGAGCACAATGCATCATATGTTAAGAGGCAATATGTACTATGGTAAAAAGAAAAAAGATAGTAGACTAAGGAATGCCAGAAATGGATGGCTTTGCAAATTTTGACCTCACTGAGAAAGTAACATGTGAGCAAACACTGGGCAGTGTTAGCTATTCAGATACCTGTCAGAGAGAAGGATGCATGGTACAGGGAAAGGGAGAGTAAACCATGGAAAGGGTACAGCACAGCAGGGTAGGGGAAACCACTGAGCACTTGCAGGAAACACATAGCTATTAATTAAACACACATAACAGTAACACGATATAACTCACATACATACAAATGCATTTAAAATGCCTCACCTCAGCAAAGATGGCCATGATGTACTGGGAAAGGGAACAATTCAATAGAAAGAGATAATAATTTTAAATATATAAGCACTGAATGTTTGTCCACCCAACTTCATAAAACAAAAACTACTGGACACAAAAAGACAGATACACTAATATACTACAGATACAAATACACTATAGACACTAATACAATCACAGCAAGGGACTTCAATACTCCACTCTCACAAATAGACAGGTTAATTAGAACAAAATTAACAACAACAACAAAATCAGAGTTAAACCACACCACTGAACAAAGAGAATTAACAAATATCTACAGAGTGTTTCATCCAACAGAATACACACTTTTCTCAGCAGCAAACAGAACTTTTTCCAAAACAGATCATATCTTAGGTCATAAAGCATGCTTAAATAAATATAAAAGAATTGAAATAATTCTCTGTTTACTATTAGATCATTGTGGAATGAAATTAGAAATCAATAGCAAAAGGAACCACAGAAACTCTGCAAACACATGAAGAGTAAATAATACATTGTCGAATAATCAATAAGTAACAAGAAATTAGGAAAGAAAGTTTCTAGACTCAAATTATAGTAAAAGAACAACATAATAGAACCTATGAGACAAAATGAATGCAGTTATAACAGGGAGCTTTGTAGCTGTGAATGCTGTATACTCATTTCAAGAATTGAATTGATAAATAGCCTATTGATGTGTCTCAAGAAAAACAAGAACAATCCAAATCCAAAACTAGTAGAAGGAAAAAAATTATAAAGATCAGAGCAGAAATTAATGAAATTGAGTCTAAAAAACATGAAGAATCAATGAATCAGAGTCAGTTCTATGAAAGGGTAAAATAGATTCCTACCAAAAGAAGGAAAGCAAAAAATCATACCAAAGCAAATTAGAATTGAAAAAGTTCTTTAAATTTAGGAGGTTTGATTTTTTTGGAGTTCTTAATAAATACTAGATACTAGTCCTTTGTCTGAGGAGTACCTAGTGAAAAACTGTTCCCATTCTGTAGATTGTCTCTTCACTCTGTTGGTGGTTTCTTTTGCTGGGCAAAAGCTTTTTAATTTTATATGATCCCAGTTGTTGATTCTTTGCAATATTTTTTGTGTGACTGGAGTTTTGTTCATAAAGTCTTTGCCTATACCAATATCTTCAAGCATTTTATGTATGTTATCTTCATCAGATTAAGTGCTTCTCTTTTAATATTTAGATCTTTGATCCATTTCAATTTTAGTTTAGTGCATGCTGAGAGATATGGGTATGGTTTAATCTTTGGCATGTGGAAAGCCAGCTTTCCCAGCACCATTTACTAAAGAGGCTATCTTTCTTCCAGTCCAAAAATGGACATCTGAAATGAACAGACACTTCTCAGATGAAGAAGTACAAACCAGCAAATAAATATATAAAAAATGTGCAACATCACTGGTCATTTAAGAAATGCAAATTAAAACAACACTGAGATTCCATCTTACTCCAGAAAGAACAGTCATCATCAAGAAACCAACCAACAACAAATGCTAGTGAGGCTGTGGGGAAAGAGGAACCCTTCCCCTTTGTTGGTGGGACTATAAATTGGTGCAACCACTATAAAAATCAGTCTGGAGATTCCTTGCAAAAACTAAAACTAGAGGTTCCATTTGACCCAGATATTCCCTTTCTAGATATCTTCTCAAAAGAGTTAAAAGCATCATACCACAGTGATATATGCATACCCATGTTTATAGCAGCACAATTTATAATAGCTAAATCTTGGAAACAGTCCATATGCGCATCAATGGAAGAATGGATAAATAAAACATACAATAGAGTACTACTCTACTATAAAGAAGGATAAACTTGAGACATTTTTAGGTAAATGGACACACCTAGAGACCATAATTTTAAGTGAAATAAGTCAGACACACAAGATTAAATATCATAGTGTTTTTCTTGCATGAGAAACCCAAAAGGTTGAAGGGAGAGGAGGGGAATGGGGAAAAGGAGAATTAAATATATTATGTAAAAATTCTCTATGATGAATATGATCATTATGTATTACAAACATGTACCAACAAAAAAAGCAATAGACAACTCAAAAAAAAAAAAAAAGAAACAGATGAAATCACAATGGACACCACCCAAATCCAGAGGATTATAAGAAACTATTTATAAAACTCATATTCCAATAAACTGGAGACACTAGAAGAAATGGACACACATAAATTACCAAAATTGAGCCCAGAAAATATAAACCAATAACAGGCAGTGAAATAGAGATGGTAATGAAAACTCTACTGAGAAAAATCCAGCACCCCATAGATTCATCACAGAATTCAACCAGAACTTCAGGGAAGATGTAATGCCCATATTCCTCAAAGTCCTTCATGAAATTGAAAGGGCAAGAGCACAACCAAACCCATTCCTGGAAGCCAGCATTACCCTGGTAGTAAACCAAACAAGAGAATTAAGAGAAAAAGAAAACTATAGGCCAATGTCTTTAATAAACATAGATGTAAAAATTCTCAATGAGAGCTGGCGATTTAACTCAGTGGTTCTGTCGCCTGCCTAGCAAACACAAGGATCTGAGTTCAATCCCCCGTACCAAAAAAAACAAAAGCAAAAACAAAACTAAGAAGTTTATGGTGGACTAAAATAAGCACACTTAAACATCAACGAATTCTCAATGATACTGGAAAACAAAATGTGATAAATCATCATGACCAAGTGGGCTTCATTCCAAGGATGCAAGGATGGTTCAACATATGAAAATCAGTAAATGTAAAACATACCATAAACAGAAGCAAGGATAAAAATCACATGATCATCTCAACAGATACAAAAAGGCTTTGGCAAAATCCAACAGCCATTCATGTTAAAAAATTCTGATGAAAATAGGCACAGAACGAACTTATCTTAGATTGACAAAGCCATTTATGAGAAAGCCAATGCCAACACCATACTAAATAGGGAAAAATTGAAGGCCTTTTCTCTAAAATCAGGAACAAGACAAAGATGACCACTCTCAGCACTTTGTTCAATATAGTACTCAAAACTTTACCCAGAGCAATCAGGAAAGAGAAAAAAAGAAAAGAGGTATGCATAGGAAAGGAAGAAGTCACACTACCCTTATTCACAGATGACATGATCTCTTACACAGAAGACAAAAAACCCTTCACCAAAGACTTCTAGAACTACTAAACAAATTCAGCAAAATTCTGGATACAAAATTAATGCATAAAAAACAACAGCATTCCTGTACAGCAACAATGAAATGAGAAATGAGAAAGAAATCACAAAAACAATTCCATTCACAATAGCTTTTTAAAAATTAATAGTGATGTATTAACCTAACCAAGGAAATAAAATCCTATGAAAAAAAGAGATTGAAGAGGACATCAGAAAATGAAAAGATATCCCCTGTTCCTGAATAGGCACAATGAATATTGTGAAAATGGCCATTTTACCAAAAATGACATATACATTTAATGCAATGCCAATCGGAATGTCAACAGCATCCTTCACAGAACTAGAAAAGGCAATTCTAAAATTCATATGGAAGTAGAAGAGACCCAGAATAGCAAAAGCAATCTCGGGTAACAAGAGCAAAGCTAGAAGCATCCCAAGCCCAGGTTTCAAGCTATATTACAAAGTTAGAGTGATAAAAATGGCATGATGCTGGCACAAAACAGACATGTAGATCAATGAAACAGAGCTGAGGATGTAGAAAAACCCCAAGGACATTCAAGTATTTGTCTTTGACAGAGTGGCCAAAACATACACTGGAGGAAAGCTGGTGTCTTTAACAAATGGTGCTGGGAAAACTGGCTTTCCACAGGCAGAAGGATGAGTCTAGCCCCAACTCACTCACTATGTACTAAAATTAAGTTGAACAGATCAAAGACCTAGATATAAAAACAGAAAGGGTGAATCTCCTGGAAGGTAAAACTTGTGAAGACATAGGCATAGGGAGGACTTTTTAAAAACAGAATCCCAGTTGAGCAAGAAATAATACCAATAACCAACAAATGGGACTATATCAAATCAAAATTCTTCTGCATAGTAAAGGAAACAACCAACAGAGTGAAGGGATAACCTTCAGAATGGGGGAAAAAATTTGTCACCTACTCTTCAGAAAGAGGATTAATATCTAGAATACATGCCAAAGCCCCAAAATACTAGACCTCCCCAAATAAAAGGCACAATGCAAAAAACGGGCAAATGAAATGAATAGGCATTTCTCAAAAGAAGTACAAATGGCCAGTGAGTACATGAAAAGGTAACTGGCATCTTGGGCCACTAGTGAAATGCAAATCAAAACAACCCTGAGACTCCATCTTACTCCAGAAAGAATGGCCAACAAGAACCAAAAACAACAAATACTGGTGAGACTGTGGGGGCAAAGGAACCTTAATACAATATTGGTGGGGATGTAAACTTGTACAACCTTTGTGCAAATCAGTATGGAGAATCCTCAGACAATTAAAAATAGAGATTCCATTTGACCCAGCTATTCTTCTTCTGAGTATCTTCCCCCCAAATTAAAGACATCATATTACAGTGACGCATGCACACCATGCTTATTACAGCACAACTTATAATAGCTAAATCTTGGAAGCAGCCTATATGCCCATCAACAAATGAATGGATAAAGAAAATATGGTATTTATACACAATGAAGTACTCCTCTGCCATAAAGAAAGATAAATTTGAGTCATCTGTAGGAAAGAGATTGTACCCTGAGACCATAAAGCTAAGTGAAACAAATCAGACACAGGAGGTTAAATATTGCATGTTTTCTCTCAAATAAGAAAGCCAAAATATAAATAAAGAACAATGTAGAAGATACACAATAGAAAACAGGGAGAGAAGCTCTGTGGAGATGGGAGGGATCTGAGGGGGAGGGAGACAGGAAGTAAGGGAAGGGAAGCAAAGAGGGTCACGATGCCGTATGTTTATACCCGCTCCCTGTGATTAATGTATTTATTAGCTTTCACAAACGTATTACTAATAAAAGAGGGAAAAATAAAGTGCCTCATCTCAGAGTTGTGTCACCATCACCTTCTTAGAGCACTTAATGTGAAAAAGAAACCTCGAACTCATTAGCAGTCACCCCTCACCCCCCTCCTCCTTCCATCCTAGGAACCCGACTTCCCTTCCACTGCTATGAACTTACCATTTTTATGCATTTCATACAGGTGCAGTCACACACACGGGTCTTCCCCCACTCAGCCTGTCTTCCAGGTTCAGCCATGTGCCGGTGCCTCATTGTTTTTCAGTCAGTTCATATTTCACTCTGCTATATACCATATTTTTCTTATGCAGTCATCATTTGGAGTTTTTCCCCTGCAGGACCATTATGAAGAGTGACCCACGTACAAGCTCTGGCATGGCCATGTGTTGTCTCTTCTCTTGTGTGCACCCTTAGGAGTCAGACTGACGAGTCTTGTGGTAACTGCTTAACCCTCGGAGTACCTGCCAGGCTTCTCCAAGGTGGCTGTGCTGTCTAACATCCCACAGCAGTCCAAGTGGGGTTCTAATCGCTCTGTGCCCTTCCCAACATTTGATCATGTTTTGTTTTTCACTTGCAGCCATCCTAATAGGCACTAAGTGTCACAACTCACTGTGATTTCGATTTGCACTGATTTCCCTTATAATACATCACGCTGAGCATATTTTCATGTCACTAAATGTCTGTTCAGACCCTCTGCCCTGCTTCATTTAATGTTTTGTTTTTAGAGTCCTGGGGATTGAACCCAGGCCTTTCACGCTGAGCTACTTCCTCAGCTTTTATGTTTTAGAGGCAAGGTCTCCCTAAATGGCCAAACTGCCCAGAGTGGGCTTGAACTTGGGACCGTCCTCCTCATTGTCTTAAGAGTGCTGGGATCACAGGTGTGCACCACCTCATCAGCTCCTGTCCTGTTTTTTAATTGGGATATTCTCTTATTGCAGTGGTGTAAGAGTTTTAAATACATTCTAGATACAAGGCCTTTATCAAATATATTTATTTGTAAATATTTTCTCTGTTTCAGTGGGCTATCTTTTCATTTTCTTGATGGTGATCTTTGAAACACAGTTTTGAACTTTGATGAAGTCCAGCTTGTCCATCGTTTATCTTTGGTGGTTTAGGGTTACAGCTATATTTCTGCCTAGTCCAAGCTCAGACATCTTTACTCCTGTGAAGGACGATGATGTCTCAGCAGAGGATCACTGCAGAGGTTTCCACCTGGGGCAACACCACCATCTGTCTTAGGTTTGATAAAGGTCATATTCTACATCTCTTTTAAGGACTGGAACTGACTGAAACACAAATGACTATCTCTTTGGATCTGCCATTTCTGCTATTTTACTGTTTTCTCTGTGCCCGCAGTGGGGGACCTGCACCTACATGGAGGACTTCACGTGGGCAGGCACCCTGAGTACTTGGCTCCCTGTTCTATCCCCAGCACCTGTGTCAGAGCAGTTGCAGCTGGACCTGAGAGACCAGGTAAAACAGGGACCAGGGATTGTGCCAACACCACACACAAGCCCAAGATGGGTCACGGGCATCAGGAGCAAACTGCCCATAGAGAGGAGAAGGTGGCTTTCTAGAGAGAGGCAGCAGCAAGAGGCCGGGAAAATCTCACCTTGGTAGAGTCCCTGCTCAGTTCCAAAGAAGCCCAGCCATGCCTTATTTCTGGGAGGTGGTTTTTCTTTGTAATAAGCCCTATTCTTCTCCAGTTGAATTTTCTGAACCAACTTGAATTCTCTGATTTTCACAAATAGGGAAAGTTGGGAAAACAACAGAGCATAGGCCCCCGTGATGATGAGTCTGAAGGCTATTCTCCCTGGAGTGAGTCACAGCTATCACTTCCTTGATAAAAACCCCTCCAGACCATGGGCACCAGCTTCCAAAATCTAACTCCTTAGGAAAATGGAGAAACGTCAATGTGACCATTAATCTAATATATCAACGTCACTAGATTAAGAAATCCCGAGCAGATGAGTAGAGCTCACTCTTGGGTGTGTCTGGGTGGTCACAGAGGTGTGGCCTTGGGTACTATATCTGGTCCCTGGCCCCTTCCTCTCTGGTGCTGTTCCCCTGCTCTGCTTCCTGGTTGCCATGAACTAAGCAGCTTTGCTCCACGAAGCCCTTCTGCCAGGATGTTCCTGTCTTGGAGCCATCTCCCATGGACTGAATCCCCAGAAACCACAAACCAAATTAATCTATGGGTGTTGGGTATTGTGTTTCAGTGGCAGGAAAGCTAACAGAGTCAATAAGTAATTACAATACCCTTGCCAAAATATTTGCTCCTTCCAGGCCCATGTCTGGGCTGGTTCTCCAGAGCCACTTGGAGGTCTCTTTAGTTCCTCCTGAGGTTCTGAGTCTAGCACTCTGGCAACAGCATGCTAGGCCTGGTGGGACTCTGATGTTTAAAACAAACATTTCCAGTCCTAAATATTTAAAAGCCTGTTCTTCAAAATACTCACCTAGGGAGGTTAACTGACTATCAACAAATTCAACAAATATTTGTTCCAACAATGCTGTAATGCTGATAATGGAACTGTTCTTTTGGAACTTCTTTCAGAGACAGGCAAGAAATTAATTGCTTTGTAGTCACAATTAGGTTGTAATAATAATTTTTAAAAGGATGCCTGTCTTATTCCCTATGTTTGGCTTGCAATGATTGTGCTGTCTCGGAAAAAAATCACCTTTAGTGGGTAACCATCTGCCAACTTTCTATGGAATAGGAAACATTTCAAAAGCAGTAGTTCTCAAAATGTGTTGAGTCATAACACTATGATTGGCAAAAATTTATAGTTTGTTTTTCCTCTGTATCTTTGTTTCTGCTGACCATTTACACTGTAAAACATCTAGGTAAATACAGCTTTTTGTTGTTGTTGTTTGACAATAATGACCTAACAAAGCGTTCTCTTCCTTGGCCCTTCATCGTTGGTTTGCCTAGTCGGATTCACACTTTTCATGATCAAAGATAGACAAAAGTTAATTGTTCCGATCTTTTATACAAAAACAAAAACGCTTTGACCCAATCAGCAGTATCTTCAAAATCTCAGGATACACTATTGACACTTCAAATGTATTGATTGTGACTCATTAAAAAACAAAATGAAGTGCCAGGGGTTTGGCTCAGTGGTTCTGCTGCCTGCCTTGCAAGTGCAAGGTCCTGAGTTCAATTGCTGGTACCAAAAAAAACAAAAACAAAACCAAAAAAACTGTGCAGGAGATTTAGCTCAGCGGTTCCGTCACCTGGCTTGCAAGAGCAAGGTCCGGAGTTCGACCCCCAGTACAAAAAAACAAAATGAAACTTCCAGGAATACCACAGTAATCATTGAACTGGAAGAGCCAAACATGTAAAGAATCACATCACAAAAATAGAGCTTAACTAGGACAGAAACTTAAAGTATTTTGTATCTATGCATGAAAATGGAAGAACCAAAGCTTAAAATATGGACATAAATAAATACTGGCTAAGCACATAAACATAATATCGAGTACCTACACATGCAGTCCAAAGTAACTCCAACCAGGGACTGTAAGCCACGTTAAGAAGGACTGGTTTCCCCTGCCCGGCCTCCGTCTCCTCCGACACACTCAACCCACAACTCCCCAGCTTCAGATACAAGATACGCATTCAATAGCACCGATTCCAACATGTGTAGGAATTAACCACACTGAGGCTGAGGAGCTCAGCAAAATCCCTCAAATACTTGAAAAATCAAAGCAGACACCAAAATTATTTCAGCTGAGACCCATAACGTCATTTAGTTAACATGTGTTTATTGAGCGCCTGCTCCGTGCCTGTGTCACCCAGAATAAAACACACATGTAAGCTAAAACCATGTTCTGTCCAACAACCCAAAATGCCAAATGACCAAAGGGGAAGCCACATTTGGCAAAAGAAAAAAGGAATAATTAAAAATTAAGATCTTCAGCATCTGCCAGTAGCATTTAACATTTTCATATAAAGTCTCTCAATTGAATAATAACCTACATGTCAAGTAATCTATATATTAGTCAAAATGTGCAGCTTTCTAAATTAAATTTCTCAGGGCTATTAGTTTTCATGAATCCAATAACAGCATGAGATATTTCACATGCACTTCCTACCCCTAGCGCAAGCCCACTGCAGTTACCTTTATCCTTCTTGTGCAGGTCTCACTAAAACTTAACCTAAAATGAAGATTAACAAGAACATAAGTGATTCATAGTCAGTTTAAGAATAACGTCCTGGACGTGGTTCCTGGAAATAAAGAGGAAAGAGTGGGTTTTCACAGTGAGATGTGCCACTGGTGTTCATAGGATGCCTTCAACACACCTTTGAAGGACATAAAAATTCATGTCAGACTGGCAGTGAGACACAGCTCATGCTCTGCCAAAGGGGAAAATTCATTTTTGCTTCAGTGAGAAAATTATATTGTAATATGAAATGAGTGTAATTGTTCCTGTACATTCAGATCAGGTACTGACTGCGCTGGCTAATTCTGCGATTTTCATTATTCCTATAAACAGTTTAACACTTTGTATCTTTATTAATCTCAGGAAATCTGAGTGGAAATTCCAAAAGTACACACGATGGCAACTTCTTTTTACTTACACATCACATCAACTAATTTAATCCACATGTTTCTTGAATTGCAGTTATTTGAATGACAGCGCCCTGCGGTGAAGAATGGGCTACAGAATTTAAGCCCCAACTCCATGGTGTGGGGGCACTCTTTATAAACCCTCTGCCTCTCTGCACCCTCAGCTGCTGGGGCTGCGTGTGTTCATGATGACAGTGCCCACCTTTGTTGCCAGGAAGGTCCAGGTGGAGCACAGCAGCACCCTGAGAGGTAGTTCCACACGGCAGGGGGCGAGCCTCAGAACTCCACGCAGAAGGTCTTACACCTCAGATTGTTTTTCAGGTGATGAAAGGCATTTTAATGCCTTGCTCAAGGTCTTACACTCAATAAGCCACGGGGCTGGGAATCAGAACGGAGAACCCAGTGTGTCTCACTATCGTGCTGCGTGTGTCAGTACACTCGTGCTTCTTAGAACTGTACAGTGATGCACACATGAGCTGTGCTTTGCTCCTGCTGCTAACTGGTCTCCACCAGTCCGCACTGACAGAGGAGTATGATCTGCAAGTCTGTCTCACTCCCCTCACTAGACTGAAACCTCCTCGAAGGCATTGCTCATCTCTGATTCTTGTTATTCATCTCTGCATCCCAGAAACACCCTCATGCCTGTGACCAAACATGTTCAAAGGGATGGAGACATGAAAGTTCAGCATTATTTCTGGAGCAACTGGCACAACTCTAAGCAAAAAGACTGACTAGTTACTATTTTTAATCATTGATTAAATGTTTTGATTTATATAAAAAACCTCATACTTATGCAAATCCATAGCATTAAGCAGATGTGGACAGGGTGGCTATGTGATTTCTCAGTATCCAAACATACGCTCAGTCTAGAGAGAAATTTCGAATAAGCGGAAGGCGAGGCGGCTGCATTTCCCGTCCCTGGGGCCGAGGGCAGGAGACGCCCCTCACTCCCTCACCTGCTGCCTTCACCTATTCTGGTCTGTCTCGAAGTCCCTCTCTGCTTTTCATGCTCAGGCTTGATGAATTTCAGCCAAGAGTACCTCACTGAAACAGCACAAATTAATAGCTTAGAAGTCTTGCTCAGTAACTATCTAGCTTCAAAATTATCCTCCCACATTTTAAAAAATCTTGTACGTTTGTCTAGTAATTATGAGCATAATAACCCTAAGACGGCTTTTATTCCACGGGAAACCTTATGCACGTGACAGGCTATTTTGGTGCGACGTGTCCAACAGCACATGAAGGGACAACTGTAAGTCACCCTGAGAGGTCCACACTCTGTGTTAAGAAACTCATAATAACGCGAGTGAGGCTATAACCTCCCGTTCAAACAAAGCTGACCGTGTAACCTAGCAGCGGGACATACAAGGCCTCCTCGAGGACTGCTGGGTCAGATGTTCCAAAGGAAGCAACATCCAGTATACAGATGCCCAGGACAGCAAGCCTGAGATGCCGCTGTGGAAGAACCGAAGGATATATACAGTCTCAGGCCTGCTGGTTCTGAACGGAAGATACTCACTTTCAATCCAGTCCAAAGGAGCCCAAGGTTTTGATCCCCACCTCGAAGTCTGGTAGCCCAGCCCTCAGCACTTCGGACCCCTGGCTTTCCCCAAACGTCACACTCCAGAACATGGACCTTTCCTTGTACCAGCACCGTCGCCATCCTCATTCCATGTGCAGCTCAACGCCATGCCATGGAGAATGCAGCTTCCATCCCTCACATAACACCTCCTGTAGGGACTTGACAGATGCTGCTTTAGGGCTTTAGGCAGGGATAAAAGCTATAAGCTACTTACAAGTTGGCCAGTGTTTCTGTCCGCTTATTCAAAAAAATAAGCAAGTATCTTTGTGCTGTGCACACAGTAGGCACTCATATACGTTTTAATGGATGCTTTAAACAGGGCTCATTTTGCCAAGGATAAGCAAAGAGATGGTGGTCCCTATGGCAGCACGAGCATCCACCTGTTCAGGAAAGGTGAAGTATAGACTCTTACAGAAGAGCAAGTTCAATCATCTTCTATATCCTCTTCCAGCCTCTGGCTCCATTTAAATTCTGTTGTTCTTTGCACATGTGGCATTTGGTACTAACACAGGTGAAATGAACTTTTTGGCTAACTCTATTTCTGTCGTTTTTCAAATTTCTTTTTCACAATTCCTTTTGTACAATATTAAACCAAGACTTGATTTTTTTCAATGCGATTCTAGTCCTATCATATTCTAACCCAGTATAACACTCTACCCTAATTTTCTCTGTTTCAAACATGTACAGTATTCAACAAACAATTCTGATTAAATTTCTCTACTATTTGGACTTTTCAGTTTAAATTGTACTGTTATTGGTTACATAACTCATTATTCTCCTTAAAAATTTTCATTGTTTGCTCTTCAAATTCCATTTCAATCACTAGAATTTCTTTTTAACACACCAACATGTAGATTCTAGTTTGTTATTATGACTTTGCCTAGATTTATTGTTTACATAAATTTAAGCATAATTAGATATGAATTTTCTTAAGTATTCTTTATAATTAAACAGAATTCTAACTTATCTGTCAAACTGCTATTTTCTGCTCCTTGTAATAATTAACTTGAATCATTTTTGCCCCAGTCTTTACCTCTCTAATCCACCTTTTTCTTCCTGTTCAACAAGCTCCCTTAACATTCACTGAACTGCAATACTGATTTTCCCTTGAAAACATGTTCTTTCTACTCACTTTCTCCATGATGTTATTACTGTAAAGTTTTTTTGGGGGGGGTACTGGGGATCGAACTTGGGACCTTGCGCTTCTGAGGCAGGCGGCAGAACCACTGTAAAGTTTTAATAATGTTAACAAGAAAACCATCAAGTGATTTTTCATTCTTCTTTCACTTATTCTTTCTGTTTTAGAAATGATTTCTAAGAAATGACTTCCTCCTTGGGTTCACTTCAGCTCACTTTCCTTGTCGTTCTCTTGTGTCCTGCGGCCCCTTCCCACCCATTATCTCAGCTACAATGTGACCGCCTGGCCCCTTGGTGACCGCTTCTCCCGCAGTGTGTCTTAAAGTAGTCCTTGTCCAAACCTCTCTCACCAGCCTCCAAATACGCCCCGCTCTCCCCAGCCCAGAGAGCTCGGCACTCAGCTTCTCCCTTCCATTCTGCACAGAAAACCCAGCCGTCACCAGCCAGCCAGCCAGTCCAAGGTGCTGGACACAGCTGCGGCCATTCTGCTGGCATTCTTCAGCCTCCTCCACTCCACCCTCGTCTTTCCCAGTTTTCTGCCTTCTCCCCTGCTCTCCTCCTTCTCCCCTCCTCCTCAGGCACCCCTTGGCTCCCAGACTTCCACCATTCTGTCTCCATCCTGGCCTGTGACTTGGTTTGGCTCACACTACCTTTGGAAAGGAATTATTCCTGGACTATTTCCTTTACCCTTTTTCCACTCACAGCCTTCGGGCCTATAACAAGTTGGCAGATCTTCCACATCAAGTATCTGAGGTACATTTTAAATTTTATACCTGTACTTCTTAGGACAATAGTAGCCAGACACTCCAATGCTGAATGGAAGAGATGTTTCCTTCCCTACTCCAAAGCAGCCCTTCTGACCAGCTGCAGAAATATGTCAAAACAGCTCCCAAGGAGAACCCGAATGTCAGACAAATTAAATGTTTTGAAAATGAGAATAACCACTTGGTGCATTTCTCAACAGAGATTGAGAACAAAGGAAAAGAAAAGAGACGGGGAAGAAATAAAATCAGAATTCAAGCTGAATAAATACAGGAATTTCTAGTTACAATGTAAGAGAAATATATGTAAACCTAGGTCTCTGGTGAAGCCAGGAGTCATAGCAGATACCTAAGGTTTTTACAACATTTCTAACTTTTGCCTTCAACTTCTGACAACAGCCAAACCCTCAAGAGGGAAAACGGGGTATAAAAAGGCCATGGAATGATAGGAATGATGGGCAGCAGACAGGAGGCTTTGGAATAATACAAATAATTCTTTAATAGAGTGTGCTTCAAAAATAGTCAACAAACAACAACAGCCACAACAATAACAAAAACAAAAAATGCACTGAACAATGCCAGCGCTTTATGGGACTGGACACCATAAACTGCACAGTACCCTGCAAATGGTGGCTCTTCATTATTACTCAACAGCAGGATAGTTAGTTATCTGTCATCCACTGTGGGGTAGCAGAAGGTGCTGACCATATCCAATCCACAACGACGAAAGTAGCTACTTCTTCTCTTCAATCCATGCTGTCCCCTTGAGAACTAAGCTCTTATGCCCCAAGTAGTAGAAATGAGAGGCATCCAGAAGTAGAATTCTATCTGATCTTGACTGTCTGCCTTCAAGGATCAAATAAAAATATGTGTTTATAGAAGTGGAGCAGCTGCTTCACTAGCTCGGAGGCCCACTTCGAGGCCACAGGAGTTTCCATTTTTCGTAGTCCACTGTTCCTGTGCTCTCTGAGAAGAACCCAACTGAACAGTGAAGGTATATGAAGGTTTGGGCGCCAGGTCCCCCAGGGACAGCAGCATCACTTCCCCAGAGAGCCCCTCACAGCAGCTGAGCAGGGACCATCGCAGTGTCTCAGTCTAAGAAACACTTAGGAATTCTTCATTATGGAGTCACCTCATAAATATGTGTTGAAGCTGCATACAGTTCATACTGTGGGTATCAAAATGAGTATGACTAATGTAAAAATTTATTAAAAGTCATCTAAGTATCACAAACACAGAGAGTCATAAATGAAGCTGCTCATTTTGGAGCCCTACTGTCTAGCTCACCATCTTATAGTGGACGAATAAACAAATAACTTAGTATAAACAAATAACTTCAGCTGTTGAGATGACTGAGTGTAGGATATGATATGATACAATACAACACGGAATTGACTAGGCTAGAAAAATAAGAGGAACTCAGAGCCCAAGGAATTTTCACTTCAATAAATAGAATAAAGAGTTCTAAAATTTAAGTGAGTTCATAAAAGAAAAGGTAATGTCAATTTAAATGGGCATCACTTACTTCTTCCTTTGCTTTCTCTATATCAAAAATTCAGAAGAAAAATTCAGAGAAAACAGAGAAATTAATTTTTACTAACAATGCAATGCAAAAGAAATTCTAAGTATCCTCTGAAAACAGGGTTAAGTGAACTATTTTTGAAGCCCCCCAAAAAAGACCCCTGGGTGAAAATTTTATAATTTTCTTTCTAGGTCAGAACGCCCTTAGAATGAGACAAAGAAAAATCTGGACCTGGAGCGAGAGGATGAGGACGACATTAGGAATCCAGTCACCACACAGTCGGAGATTTGTTCAACTAACAGATGAGGAGCCAGAATAATCAGATATTAAAAGAAAAGGAAATGGTCTGCAGAGAATAAATGAGAAATTATGACTTGGGAGTAAAGGGTGATACATTTTTACAACACACATGGGTTTAAGTTAGGTGGAAAAGAAATAAAGAAACTATTAGAATATAATAGTGGGAGAACCATTTTTCATGTTTCTGCATAAGAAAATATTTCAGTATGCTCTGCAAAAATTAAACTTGATTTTTTAGTGTATTTAAACAAGAACCAAATGAGCTCTGATTGATATGGATTTTAAAATTCCTAATCCCCATTCTATATAACACAGAATTGGGGATGGGGGGAATACTTCCACATTAAATAAATGACTTGTTTTGGTCTCTTTTATTGAGCATGAAGGAACAGCATCTTCAAAGTATATAAATAGAATCCAAGAATGCTAGTGGGGTGTGTGTGTGTGTGTGTGTGTGTGTGTGTGTGTAAGAACAGAAGGTCGGAATGAAGAAAGGCGCTAAGAAAGGATGTGATACCATTAAAACGCAACTGGACCCCCAGGAACACTTCCGGAGCTGCGCTGCAGGGGGCGCTGTTGGCACGCGAGAGCAGAGCATGCGTGTGAGCTCATCGCCAGCCGGGCAAGACACACTCGCAGCTAGAAGCAGTCATGTCTCAACACCTCTGAGTCCCCAACGCTGACAAGCTAAACAACTTGTTTTGTCTCTGGGAGCTCTTCTCTGGTGATTAACTGCTTGTGGTGAATACTAATTACACGCAGGTACAGTGTGGGAGAAGGGGTCGGTCCCCTCCCTGCAGCAGGGCTTGCCCCGGGGCACCTCTGCCCTCACCTGGGCTGTGACAAACAGGGCCTCTACTCTTACACAGCACAGCTCCCAGACCAGAAACCGCCTTTCACCTCTGGGCTCCAAACCGAATATAATTACAACAAAGGGGCCGTTTAAAGATCCCTGCAATAATCACAGGGATAAATGTGCTGCAGGAGTCGGTGAATTAGTGAACTATCAGTGTCCTCAATTCCCCGGGTCCCATGTTGAAAATTTACCCCAAATTGTCAGTTCTTAGGAACTGCACCTCAAATTAAAATCTTCTCACCAGGGAGTCTATGAGAATTTGTTCTTGTGTTTTAAATCCAAAGTGCTTGTTAAACCGCCAGCACTGCAAAATTAGAGACCATTAAACAATATAAGGCAGCAAGTGATTAAATCTACCAAATACAGATTCAAAGCAGCTTAAGCTACTTTTTAATTAAAAATAAAATATCATTGGCTAAATTCAGATGTCTTAGCTCTCCAGAAAAAGTTAGAAGGCTGTTCAAACTGCAAACTGCTGCCGACAAGCCCTGGTATAAAAGAGGACTGAGGGCAGAGGGCAGGCTGGACAGGGGCTCGGCTGGGTCTCTGAGCCTAGGTCATGCCCGATGCTGACCCACTGATGTCCACTGCATGTGGGGTGAGGACATCAGGGGCCTCTATTTGCAAAGGCCTGGAGGGGCCAGGGTGCTCTGCCCTCCCAGGAGGGAAATGAGTTGAGCAATAGCATCTCAGAAAGCTGAGGCGCTGGAGAGGTACAGATGGCCAAAGGAAACGTCAATGCTGTTTTTCAAAGACAGCTTAAGCTGACTGATAAATGTTTCTTGAAATAGTCATTAGCTCTTGGGGAACCAGGCACAGGAGCTTTGGAGTTAATGGGATCACGAGGTTGAAAGGAATTTTTATTGTCCAGTTAGAAGTAAATAAACATTGCAGCTTTAAGTTGTTCCTGCTTGTTTAGAGTAAAGAAAAGAAAAAGGGCCTGGGGCTTAGTCAATTTCAGGCAAGAGGCCAAGAATCTGAGGATCAAACTTCAGGCTTCGATGATATCATTCACGCTGAAGCCTTGATTCTCTTCCTGCAGCATGAGAAACTTACTGCTAAAACCTTACTCACCCACAGTTCTCTTATTTTTAAGTCTATTTTTTTCCTCTCAAGCATGATTTTCCAAATGTGCTTTCTGCCTTAGATATAAATGTTATGAATTTACTTTTAGTCTCAGACATAGTCTTACCTAAAAAGCTTGCTCTGAAGTACAGTACAGGCACTTGGTAGCTACAGGAATATAAGACGTGATACTCATATTTAACCACTTCAGATGCTGCCTGGGTCTCAATCACTTCCAAATCATCCGAGGGTAGGTCTAAGGCCTCCTGGAAGAAAGCAAAGCAAAATCCAAATGTATTTGTCAATAAAAAAAAAAGTACTAGCATGAAGAGGGAAAGATGAGATTTTTCTTCCTGCAAAATTACAGTTAAATAAACACAGGGCCATGAGGTAAGGAAAAGGGAGTTACCCATATTGATGTTTAACATTTGAGTCCTGGGTAAGTAGTACAACCAAAAAACATTAGCATTAAGTCATTCCAGATTGGTTTTTGGGAGACAAAGCAGCTCTGAGGAAAGAAACAGGAAGGGGGGCAAGAAGATCTAATGCAACAGCAACTCTAAAAATCTTTGCTGTACAATTTTAGCAACACGATGATGGCTATACAAACCACCTTCTCCCCTACCTGCGAAAGCTAAAAACATCCTAAGAGTCAAATGAGAGGCTGTGAAATGTCCCTAAAGAGTCTATTGTACTTTCCAAAAGATGATTCACTGCGTGCTGAACAATTCCCAGCTCCATTTTGAATAAGATACTTACTTTGCAAGAGGTTGAGATTTTTAGGTATATGTTAAATCCTGAGATGATTGTTTTCTTATTATTGTGCTTTCTTTGGTAGAGCTCTACAATAACTCTTGATTTTTTAATAGATGGCAAAGTGAAACACAGTTCCGTAAGCAGAGTTGGTGATAGCCATGCTGCGCCTCACCTAATCACTCCTCACAGGTTGATTTTTTTTTCTTTTACTATGGGTGGAGGTTTCTTAAGAATGCATCTTAATGCTTAGAAGCAATTAATTGGACATGTTGAATCAGAGTCTGGTGTCGTGCACATGCACTTATTTATTTTGGTTGATGAACTTCCTTTGAAATTAAATTAGTAGAAGATGGGTTTGGCTCATTTCTGCCTCTCATTAAAACAGTAATGGCAACAATGAACAATCAGAAGGAGCCACAGGGAAGACTTCAAACTCCATCAATATGAAAGAAGGTTGGCATGCAGATAAGTGAAGCCAGAACTGCTGTCCAGATCTGTATCTCTTTTAGTAACTCCCCACTCCCAGCCAGTCCACTGGGGAGATGTTACCAAGGATAAATCACAATGGAGAATATTTACTTTTCACTGAATCCCAGGAAACACTATCAATTAAATACAATACATTAAGTAATGAGAGAAATGACTGAAATAAATACTCAAGATATAGAAAATTAATGCAGTAATCACTTGGAACAAAAGTTAGGTAGAAGTCTTGAAGACATTGGTGTAGGAAAAAATTTTATGAAAAAAACCTCAGTTGCCCATGAACTAGCACAAACAATCAACAAGTGGGATCTCTTCTTACTAAAAAACTTCTGCACAGCAAGAGAAACCACCAGTAGTGTGCAAAGACAACACACAATGTGGGAAAAAATCTTCACCTGCTCTTCCTCAGACAAAGCTCTACTGTCTAGAATCTATAAAGAACTTAAAAAGATCAGATCTCCCAGATTTAAAGACCCAATCCAAAAATGGCATCTGAAATGAACAGACATTTCTCAGACAAAGAAGTACAAATAGCAAATAAACATAGGAAAAAGTGTTCACCATCACTGGTCATTTGAGATGCAAATGAAAACA